GGTGGGGTGGTGCAGGGCCAGAATGGAACACACTCAGTGATTCTGATAGCCCTTTTGCTCTCATGAATATATTCTTCGAAAATCGTTGTCTAAGCTATAGAAGAAGCAATTTCAGCAAAATTTACTGGCTATAGGGGTGAATGTGTGTGAAGAGTCTGAAGTAACACTGAGATTGCAAACTTGGGTGACTAGAAGAATGGTGGGGCCCTTGATGGTAGTAAGGAAGTTCAGAAGAGGGAAAGATTATATAACATAGAGGTAGCCAGGTTGCCAGAGGGACTGAGCTTGGAGTTAAGAAGAATTGATTTCAAATCTGACATCTTAAGTTGTGTCACCCTGGGCAAGTCGCTTAACCATTATCTGCCTCAGTTTTCTCAATTATAAAATGGGAATAATAATAGCGTTTACCTCCCAGAGTTGTGAGGATCAAAGTGCTTAACATAGTGCCTAGCATGTAGTGTTAGCTATTATTGTTGTTGTTGTTATTGTTGTAATACAAGTCTGAAATGCATATTGTGACTCATCCATGCCTATTCTTCCTGTGCAGTATACTCTGTCCCACTCAAAATGAAATGGGGGTGGAGGGTGGGGCTCTTATTCATCAGTAACTATGGCAAGCTCCACTTACTACAGCTGTGAAGCGATTGGGGGAGGGGTCAGGAAATGTAGGATATTGGGAGGAGAGGAATTTTCCCAGTGATACCTGTATAGCTACTGCTATGGGTTCCTGTGTAGAAGTTGTTATCATTGCCTGAGGGCCAAATCCACAGTTCAGACAGGGGAAGTTGGGATCTTGGAAACAAAGGGACTAATGGCTGATAAGGGTGGATGAGGTTGCATTGAAACAAGACCTATGGCTAGCTATCATGGGATGGGTGGGATGCAACCCACCTTCCTACCCTGCAACTGATTGATAACTCTACCCTTAGGTACATGCCTCACTTTAGAGACCATTGCCCTAGCATACTAGAGCCTACATGACTTCCCTGATCACTCTGAAAAGATGAAGTCCAGAAGCTGATAGGAAATAACAGGTATCAGGGAGCATTATCCCAACAGAGACTCTAAGCCCAATTAGAGACATGTTCAACAAATAGCAGTGCTCAACACTCAACCAGGAGCAGGCCCAGAAAAAGCAACATGATGACATCACCAGAAGTCCCCTCCATGAATGTGCCCCTCATGTGATCCCCATGTTTGCCCATCCTTACTAAGGATATTGTTATGTCTTTGAAGGAAAGCTTCCCAACATATGGGGAAATGTTCTATTGTTTATTTTTTTTCACAGTTTTAATTATGTTGCTTTGAACTAATTGTGTCCTCTAGTTAACCAGGGAAGAAATAAATGCATTGACCCAACTAATGAACTGTGGTATTGAGTAGATACAGACCTCAGAGAGTACCTTAAACTTAAATATCAGAGCAGGGGTACCCCAAATACTAAAATTAGATACCTAAAACATAGACAAATGGCTACCCTGTACCAGCAAAGAAGTCTGAACAACCTTCTGTGGATACATTATTTAAGCAAAAGTGACCTAAAATTTTATTAAACTGGGCCAGAATCCACCCATGCACATATAACATGAATGAGAATAAAAAGAAAAAAAAACAGTAACATGAAAGTGGTAATACCTAAATGTGCAGAATTTCTGGCAGAGTCAATCCTAATCTAATCACTGGACATTGAACTGATAAATGTACCAAAATAAAAGTAGTCTAGAGAGTTTTGTTTTTGTTTTAATTCTGAGGCATTACAGGAAAATCCCCAACCTCACTACATTAGATTGAGTCTCTGAATTCTACATCATGTTGCATGTTATTGTCATCTTTGTCATTTGCAAAAGGAACAATGTCATTGTGGTAGTTACTATCATGGTTAGAAATAATGTCCCAGGGGAGGCCTAGAAACAGAATATCATTAAGCCACATGTATTCAACTTAGGCAGCACAGAACTGTAAAAAGAGCATTGGATTTGGAGTTAGGTGACCTAGTTTTAAATTCCCACTCAGGTACTTACTACCAATGTAACTTTGAGTAAATCTTAGCCTTTCTGGGGATCGTTTTCCTCATCTCTAGAATGAGGAGATTGGAATCAGGGGTGGGGAACTTGCAGTCTCTTGGGGGCAGCCCTTTGACTGAATCCACCAGTCAAATGGATTCAGGCAAAGGGCCTCACTTGAGGACCCAGAGGACCATGTGAGGCCTCAAAACCTCAGCTTCCCCACCCCTGATACTGGATGATCTCTGCGGTCCATTTCTGCTCCAAATCTTTACTCTTATCAGCTGTCCCTGTTTGTGTTCTGTACTTTTATTTGTCTCTTATGTAATGTGGTGTGTTTGAAATGGCTACTTGACAAATGCCCTTTGATTGGGGAATGACTAAATAAATTGTGGAACAGGAAGGTAATGTAAGTGCCAAACTTAAATAGAACTAATTCCTTAAATAGAATAGGCCACATGTTGTTGCTTTTCTTTGTTTCCCCAACGCTTAGCACAGTGCTACGTACACAGTAGCCTTTTAATAAATGCTTATTAACTAGTTCAGCAGGCATTTATTGAGCACCTACTATGTGCAAAGCACTATGCTAGATGCTGGGAACGCAAAGACAAAAATGAAGCAGTCCCTATCCTCAAGAAACATATGTTCTATTAGAAGGTAACAATATATGCAGAGATAAGTAAATATAAAATGTATACAAAGTGGGGAAAAGGAAAGACTAGTTCTCTGATTTCAGTGGCATAGAGAACTCCTGGCTGAGGAAGCACCCTCTGCCAGTTCAATTCAGCAGCAACTTCTTTGCAAAATGCATATATCATCTTAGAGTGTTGCCTAAGCATTGAGAGGTTAAGTGACTTTCCCAGGGTCACATAGCCAGTATGTGTCACAGGTGGGATTTGAACTCAGGTCTTCCTGGCTCTAAGGCCATCTCCCCATCTTCTACACCATACTACCCTTCATGTGGATGGTAGTCCTGCAAAAATTACCTTTCTTCTTGCTAGCATTTCAATAGCCTTTTCTTTCACTGCCCAGAGGCAGAATCACATCTTCTGCAGTCCTTGCTTTATGATGGATTCATTTTGCCAGTGTCTCCCACCTGCTTTTAAAGGAACTGAATCAAGAGGGGTTTGCTCTGGTAGCAATAAATGTTGACTCCTCAATGTGGTCATATGGCCTAATGAAGAAATCAGAAATATTTAGCCTTGAAAATAATATGGGTGGAAGGAAGAAAGGAAGGATACAACAAGCATTTGTATAGTGACTACTACATTCCAGGCACTGTGCTAAGCACTTTATAAATATCTCATTTGATATTCACAATAACCTTGTGAGGTGGGTATTATTTTTATCCCTATTTTACAGTTGAGGAAATGGAGGCATCACAAGTTAATTGACTTGCCCAGGGTCACAAAGCTATTAAGTATATGAAGTTAGATTTGAACTCAGTGACTCTAGACAGCTCTAGGCCTGGCACTCTTATCTACTGCACCACCTAGCTGCCTCTAAGAGGCAGCAGTATGGAGTCAGAAGGACTTGAATTCAGGTCCTGCCTCTGACATATATTAGCCGAATAACCGTGGGCAGAGCACTCAACTCAGTTCACATGGAACTCTCTAAGGCTGTAAGTTACATATCCTCCTTGTTATCTAGACAGAACTTTTGCAGCAAGAGCTCCCTACAAAATCTCATATCCAGTGGAACCCAAACAAAACAAAAGGGGGTGGCTTGACTTCTGACAAATTTGTAGGATAGAGGAGAATGCCAGTGGTGTGATCCCAATTTGTAAATGAGGAAACTGGCTGAGAGAGCTGAGAGACCTGTCCATTATCAAAAGGCTAGTGTTTGTTGGGATCTGAAACCACATGTCCTGATGTTCCATTAGACTTGGAGGGAGAGGTATGAGAGGTGCCTTTAAAGTATTAGAAAGGCTTTCTTGTGGAAGAAGCTTTAGATTTATTTTGCTTAGCTTCAGGGAACGGAACTAAGATCAGTGTTCACTGGAAGATAAAATGAGGGAGATTTCAGCTTCATATAAGGAAGACCTTCTAGCAAAACTATACCAAACTGATGTGGACTACTTTACTAGGCAGTAAGTTTCCCATCACATAAAATGTTCAAAGAAATGCTGAATGATACTTTTCAGGATATTTTAGAAGAGAAAAATGCTTTCAGTAAGGATTGAACTAGGTGCCTGCTGAGGTCCTTCAAACTCTATGGTCTTATAAGTCTAAAGAAAAAAAATAAAAGATTACCCATTCATCATACACATAGTAGATGTCAATTAAGGTCACTTTTGTCACTTTCTCATTTGGTAATATATTTTGAAATACCACTTTTAGCCATCAGATATTAGATCATCTCTGACTTGTGATTAATAGAATTAAAGGATGACTTATTAGAAGATATTTGTAAGACACTGAGATTTTGAGAATCAACTTTGGTGACTTTGAAATCCAGAGAGACTATAAAAGTCTTGCTCCCTTAAGCTAAGTTTTATTGCTTTTTCTTGGCTCAGAAAGTCCTGATTCTGTATAAATTAACCTATTTCTACATAAAATAAAAACATAAAGTAAAGTTAGTCACTTTGGTGACAAAAGACTGTCTCTACTTTCACCTCTCTCATACCTTTAACCCTAAACTGAGCAGTACTAGATTGAAATATGTGAATTTCCCCGAAACTGGTAGGCAAAAAAGTAATTATTTAGCGTGTGTATGTACAAGTTAAAATCTTTTTAGTTAACACTTAACTTCAAATATATTGTAAATGAGGTTTCAATTTTTCAATATTTTTTGTCACAATGGACCTTTGCTGTTCAAATTCAACCATGAAAGGGAAAAAGTCCTTTGATGACCATCTCTATTCTAACAGATGTTATTTTTTCTTAAAATTATTATGCTCGCATATTTGAATAAACAATGTTTGCTGCTGTTGGTGGTTGGTAAGAAATTAATGACATTTTTCTCTGTGTGTTTTTTTTCTCTCTTCACCACTGTTAGGAAGGGTGCTTGTGGCCTTCAGACAGTTCAGTGCCACGACAGGCTGCTGCAGAGGTATGGTATTTAAATTGCTTTGCAAGGTCCTCGGTCTATCGTTTGAGACTATGGGCTGTGTTGTATAGCAACAGTGTCTACTAAGGGGAGCCTGAGGAAGTAAAGAGGCAGAGGGAGAAAAAGGGTTTAAAAACTTGACAAATAATAAATGACTATAAATATAGCAAAATCATCAGGAGACATACAAGCAGAGTACAGACTGAGACACAACACACATAAGTCAATTCAGGTGACTGCAAATATGATAAAGAAGCAGGTGCACCACTGAGGACTGGTGATAGATAGAGATCAGAAGAAACAAAAGATATTCACTAGGGATATTCATGGAATTGTGATGGCAAGGGCCTGAAAGACGGAAGTGTTTGTTGACTGGCTATTTATGTAGAAATCAGTGATGTCAAACTCAAATAGAAATGGGAGTCACTAATCAGAACATAAAGATCTCTGCAGACTGCATGTTATGTAATGTTATCGCTATTGTATTGTAACTGATTTATTTTGTTAAATATTTCCCCTGCCTAGCTCACATTTTCATCCTGTTCTGATGCACTTGTGATGGGCTGCATGTTTGACACCTCTGAGATAAGGCACCTTCAAGGTCTTCTCAAACTAGAGATGGAATATGTTGAGAATGACAGAATCATTCATCCAGACAATTTTAGCATTAGAAGGGACTTTAGAGAATCAGCTGTTTATAGGATCATAGATTTAGAAATGGAAGGGATCATCTAGTACAACCTGCTCATTTTACAGATGAAGAAAGTGGGTCTTAAAGAGATTAAGTGACTTCCCCAGGGTCACACACATGTGGAATTTGAATTTAGGTATTCGTGACTTCAGGTCTAGCACTCTATGTACTCTGCCACACTGCTTCTTGGTTCAGAGGAGCTGATGTTCCAAGTTACACTGCTAGTTGTCAACAGAACTAAGTCTAAGGTAACTCATCTTTTGCAAGAAAAAGAATACTGCTTTATCCTGAACAATAACTAACTGTTGCTCAGTCATTTTTTTAGTCATGTCCGACTTTTGGTGACCCCATTTGGGGTTTTCTTGGCAAAGATACTGGAATGGTTTGTCATTTCCTTCTCCAACTCATTTTACAGATGAGGGAACTGAAGCAAACAAGGTCAAGTGACTTGTCTAGGGTCACATAGATGTAAGTGTCTGAGGCCAGATTTGAACTCATGAAGATGAGTCTTTTTGACTCCAGGCCCAGCTCTCTATCCACTGTACCAACTAGTTGCCTGTATCTTGTTCATTGATTGATTGATTAACATTAAATAACAGATACTCGAAGAATTAAAGTAATCTGTGTATGACATGGAATTAAAGTAATTCATAATCCATGTATGTTATATTTGGGTATACTTTGGGTATACCTAAAGAGCCAATTATTTTGAATGTTCCATTCCACTGCTATATATACAGACACATACAGACACACACACAAACACACATATGTGTATATACATATATATATGTATATATAAAGTTCAGGGCATAGGGGAAACTGTGTTGGTTTCTTCTTCCCTACCAAACTCTTCTCTCTATTCTGCTCCCCACCAGGTTAAATCAGAACAAAATAAGAGCAACTTCCACATATTCAGAACAGTAGAGGAATGGCATGTTCCAAATATTTGCCTCTTTGGAGGAAAAAAATATAGATATAGATATACACACATACACACATGTGTATACATATATATATAAATATACACACATGTATATATGTATGTAAATTATATATAACAATGTACACATACATGTGTTATATACTATCTTTCTATGCAGGAATATTTCTATCTGTTATCTGTCTAGAATACAGAGTAATCTTTGTTCCTTCCCTTTCCCTTAAAAGTAATATTTTCTTCTAACAAGAGTTTCTTTTCCTTCCAGATTATGTATGCCCCCCGGACTAGGGACAGATTTACTGCCCCATCATTTATGCAGAGGGACCGTTTCAGCCGCTTCCAGCCCACTTACCCTTATGTACAGCATCAGATTGATCTTCCTCCCACGATCTCCCTCTCTGATGGGGAGGAGCCACCGCCATACCAGGGACCTTGTACCCTGCAGCTTCGGGATCCTGAACAACAGATGGAACTCAATCGAGAATCTGTCAGGGCCCCACCCAACCGAACTATATTTGACAGTGATTTGATAGATATTTCTATGTACAATGGGGGCCCATGCCCACCAAGCAGCAATTCGGGCATAAGTGCAACCAACTGTAGCAGTAATGGAAGGATGGAAGGACCACCCCCAACTTACAGTGAGGTGATGGGTCATTACCCTGGCTCCTCTTTTTTCCATCACCAGCACAGCAACACCCAGAGGGGAAGCAGACTTCAGTTACAGCAGAACAATTCAGAGAGCACAATAGTACCTATCAAAGGCAAAGACAGGAAACCTGGGAACCTTGTCTGATTTCCTCCTCTGGCACTTGAGCAGAAGAGAAGAAAAACCAATAGGGAAGGGCAACCCATAGGCCTGCCTCCTATGCACAATGTTTTGAAGTTTTACGTGGTACACCTGAGTAAAACCAAATGTGCAAACGTGTTCTTTGTTTCTGATTCCTTTCAGGGGAATTGCATGCAAAGTGGATTGAAATATTACAGACTTCCATTCAGGTTGACCATGAACAGTGGCTTTTTGGGGGGGAAGGGGGATTGGGGTGGCTGGAGGGAAGGAAGGAAGGATAATACTTTAACGAAAAACATAAAAACAAAACCCACAAAGATTATTTGAATTATTTAATTCTAAAAGGAAACTTAGCACATAAACAAGGTCACCAAGGCCTCTTTTCTATTGACTGAATGACAGAGAGAAAAGAAGAAAGTATTACTATGTGATCAAGGGAAAGAATTGGCCAGTTTACTTTTCCTCCCAGGGTGTGGAATTTTTGTTTTGTTTTGTTTTTGAAATATGAATCAAAATTCCTGTTTTGTGTGCCAAGGTATAAAGTGGGGAAATTAGATGAATGCAAGGAGTTAATTTGTGTTGTGATAAATGTGTTTTTAAAAGTTGCACTATCTTAATGTTAGAAAAAAAAAATATATATATATATATATATATGAGGGGAATTGTTTTACGTGAAGTTTTATCTGTTGTCTCTTCACCTGTGGATTAAATATTAGGCCCGAGGAATACTCTAGAGGTGTCTGCCCCATAGCCTCAAGAGAAAGGGAATTGGTTGGTTTGTAGGGTTTTGCCTATTGTCTACCAACTTTCCGAAATCAAATGTGTAGAGCTCATCCTTGCAATAACAGACATTAAAATGACAGGGCATCATTGAGGCATCTTGGAGGCTCTTGGATGGAAGATAGCAAAATTTTAATTCCAGCATTTCTAACTTACATAGTTTTAGCTATTCTTACTACAATTTAAGACTGAATATTTTATTAAAAACAAAACTGAAAACCAGACACTAAAATTCTATGTTAACTTTGAAAAAATGCTGCCACACTTCTCCTTTGGACAATTTAATATCTTCAGTACACTTAAAAAAAAAAAAAGGCTTTGGAGCTTTTGTCTTCACCATAGCCTGAAATATATTTAGTCATATATCCTGACAACATGCAATAAATTGCTTGAAAATGCAAGGGTTTTGGGGGTCTTTTTGTTTTTTGTTTTTTAGTAATAGGTTTGGATCATAGGACAATTTGTTGTTATTGTCGTTGTTGTTATTTTTGCTGACTCAGTCAGTATAAATGAGTAGTCCCTCAGCAGTCATGCTTCTCTGTCCTCAGCCTATTCTTCAGATGGTGTGAAGGATGCTAGGTGGGCAAGGGGCTTACATGTTCTTGGAAACCACAGAAGCTGACTCACCAGGCAACACCTGGTAAGTCATATAGGTAGTCTTGGTCAAAAGTCATTGACTTTCACTAAGATTGTCCCTTGCCTCCAAAAGGCATTGTACAGTGAAGGATGGCCTTATTGTCCCACCCCCAGGATTTCACTCAGCACTTCCCCTGCATGAAGGAAGGCCAATAACAAAACAGTTGAAGGATGGCTGTAGTGACTTTGAGAACACAAAATAAAAGCACAACATGCACTTGAAATGCAATTAGGAAATTAAGTTTGAACCAGTAGCATTAGTCCTAGTCTAATATCTAATAATAGTCTAATAATAATCTAATAATAGTCCTGATATCTACATGTATTACTTCTCACTAGAAAAGGGGAAAAGTCTCTTTTATTTTTCCTATGGTCTTAAACAGATTTCTTTCCTGACAGCAGCAGCTGAGTGCATTGTAGAGAAGTACTGTAATGGTAGCACCCATCCTGGTTTGAGGAGGTTCAATTTCTGTAGGACTTCTGCACATGAGAAAATGTGATTGAAACCCTTATTATTAAAGTGACTATTTGATCTATGCAGAGTTTTAATGCCAAATCAGCATATATGTAACTTGTGTTTGCTGTTTGTGAGTCTCTGGAGGTAATTTTGTCGTGAAGTGACCTTGTGCTATTCGGGTCTGAACGTGTGGGTGATTGTATTAGTATCTAAAGTCCTGTTTCTTATTAATCCCAGCCTGGTTATTTCTGGATCTGAAATGTGACAGAGGCGGAGGGAGAAGGGTCTAACCTGTCTGCTCTACTTCAGGAGTTCTTGCCCTTTTTTGAGGAGTGAGTTGAAGGCACATTCCTTTGTTAACCTCCATGTCTCTTGGTGATGCCCACAGAACTGCCATAACCCAGACAAAAGAGAGGGAGAAAGATGGGCAACCTTGTTTTCCATTCTGCTGAAAACCCTGACTAGGGAATGTGCAGAGGGAGGGCAGATTAGAGATTCTGAGACCAAATTCAATCACAGCTACACCTTTGGAGTCTTTGAGGAGGCTGCCTTAGAGCAAGCCAATAATGCCTAGCATGTTATCCTGAGAACCTTGATATGGGACCAGTTTAAATCTTCCCTACTGTTTTGGAGGCCTCCTGAAAGATTAAGTCTGTTAAATATGCCCCTCACACTCCTAGTTCAGAACCCATGTGTTTTGTGTCTATCATTTCTAGCTCCCATAAGCTTTTTTTAAATTACCTTGGAGCTTCATTTGTGAAAGATGCCAAGAATAACTTGTCTACTATAGCAAAAAGCATATTCTAATTGTCAGGTTAGAATTAGATAATTATTTGTTGTACAAATAGTGAGCCACTCTGTCTGTAATAATCCTGTCAGAGGATATTTAGTTTGATTACATAGGTAGGTATGCATGTGGGGTCAAAGACTTGTACCTCTTAACACCTATGAGATCTGAGTGAAAGTCAACTAAGAAAGTCATGAAGGAGAAGAGCATTCCAAATATATCCTGTCATTTTAAGCAAAGGGAGTAAATCTTCATCATTGCAATACTCAGTGGTTTCTTAATATTTACTTCTAATTGGCACAAGAAAATATTTGCAAAGGTAGCAGCTTCATCAGTTCTTTCTGGAATCTATGTGCTAAGATGATAAACCTTTGGTTTCGTTCTTAGCACTGCAAACAAATGGCAAACTTTCTTCTTTAGTTATTGTTGGAATAGACAGTCTAATGGTAATTGGGAATAGATATTTCTGTGCATAAGTGGGGAAAAAAGGGGTTGGCAACCAGCATATCTTTTCAGTCACTGAATCTTGTAGGTCACCAGAGTGGCATTAGAATTAACTTCTGAATTGGAAAATAAGAACAAATTATAAGATCACAGATTTAGAGTTGGAAGGGACTTTAGAGGTCATCTAATCGAAGCGCTGTTTTATAGATGGGGAAGCTGAGGCATAGAGTGGCGAAAAGATTTGTTCTAGGTCATAGAGAGAGTAAAAAGAAGAGCTCAGATGAAAGATTCGTCCTGTTGATCCTATGTTCTCTTCTCATTGAACCACACTGCCTGAAGCAGTAAACAAAACTACATTTTCTCAATTCAGATAGATCTTAATCCAAGTAATGGTCTTTGGTCAATGTTTATTAAAATGACTTTTTTTTTAAACTTAGGAACAGGAATTGTATTAATCCCCTGCCTAAAAAAAAGCAAGAACTATGTTAAAACTCCAATTGCCCAAAGGTCTGATTTAGATCACTGGTTTTAATTTGGGATTCACCTTAGGCTCCTCCTGGATGGTAGAACCCAGGGACCCTTATTTATTATCAAGGAACCCCTAGATACAATTCAAAGAGACCTAGGGTTCTGGGGGCAGTAGTGGCTTTTGGCATTTGAGGTGTTTGTGTTTACAAGAAACGTGAGTGGGACCCTGAGCTCTTCTGAGGCCTGAGCATCTCTGTGACCAGTAACTGGGCTATAGAGGAGAGTTCTGGGAAAGGTGTTCAGTACCTGAACTTCCAGGGGCTGGTGCCCTGAGGCATGCTAGAGCAGTTGCCTGCCACCAACCCACACCCTTGTTAAGGCAGTGAAGTTTCAGAAATCAATTTTTAGAGCTCAGACCCAGTTCTTATAAACATCAAATCGTACTTTAATGCAAAACATGGATTATACAAAACTTGAGGATTTTAAAGTAAGCCTGTTTTAAACCACAAGGTTAAAAGAAAATGGTCAAATGTTCCCTTATAACACGTGGTTTTAAAATGGTTGATATGATGGTCTTAAACCTTTCAGAGAAGTCCTCTTAGGGTGTATACTTGGCATGCCCCTAGCCTAAACTCATGTGATATAGGAAAAAGTGGTTACCAATAAAACATTCAGGGAGGAGTAAGGGGGGGTGTCTGGATCAGTAATTCAATCAGTGTATTGGAACTCTTTTCTATCAGGACATCAGTTTTGCAACTTACAGCCTTGGAGGGTTGCCCAAGGGTACTGAGAAGTTATGTCACTTGCTTAAGCTGTGATATTTAAAGGAAAGGACTTGAACCCAGGACTTAATGACTCAGACCACTTCTCCCTCTAATGCTCTGCATTCCCACCTCCAGTGAAACTATGGCTTCCTTGATCACCAGCATTAGGGATGCAAAGAATGTGTGAGGTTGCTTGTGCAGATTTTATGTGGAAGATCCCAGAGCACAGGTGAATGAATACATCTTAAGCCTTCTACTATCCCCTTTTCTTTCCCTTACTTTGCATTTCCTTTACAATCTTTTCTGATCATCCCAGAAATGAGAAGGTCACATGAAAAAAGTACGTTTTAAGCACTTTGCTCTTGGTGGGGCCAGGTAGAAAGGGGAAAGGGAGAAAGAAGGAAAGGTGATTTCAAACCACCTTACTTACCAAATCAATGATTTTCTTTGTTAGAGTAATAGTGCATCTTCCATCCAACTATCTTTTTAGGAGGCTAAGTGGGGCGGGAGGAAGGAGGGCTATCCAGAAAAAGTCCTAAGACTCCCTTAGTTACATGGTGAGAGGACAGTCTTAAAGAAACTCAAAAGCACACAGTCTCAGTCTAAAGAAAAACCACCACTGTGGTGTCAGTAATAACTTAACAGCACTTGTGTCTGACCAGAGGGTGAATTCTATATGTCACTCATTCAGTTCTCTTCTTGATTGAAGGGCTGTTAAGTTTTGATGTGTTTGGTGATGCCTGTTTGCTTTGCTGTTTTCCATTTTTGCTACTAAACTAACCCAAAGGACTTATACAGCCT